TTAGTTATTATTATTATTATTATTATTATTATTATTATTATTATTATTATTATTATTATTATTATTATTATTATTATTATTATTATTATTATTATTATTATTATTATTATTATTATTATTATTATTATTATTATTATTATTATTATTATTATTATTATTATTATTATTATTATTATTATTATTATTATTATTAATTATTCTGTAATTACCAATAGCACTAATAACAGTAAATTTGAATTAAACTTTTGAATGAAAATATAATTTATTTCTACATTTATGTAATACAACTGTGTTTTTCTTTTTGCTTTTATAACTGCGTTTGATGATTGCATAACGATGACAGAAATTGTATTCATACTAATGGATGAAATACTGCTTAGAATTTTAAAACATTATAATCAAATTCAGATTTTGGAAAATAAAAAACTTCTCAAAACAATAGAATGTAATATTTTCAAAAAAGAAAAACGAAAAAATTTTGTCACATTGAAATTTTTTAATTTTACCAAAATGCCATTTTAAAGAATAACGTTAAATGATTAATTAATAATTTGCAATATTTATGAAATTTGATAAGTATTAATTAGTAGACGTCAATGGCCAAAACAAATTAAACAAAAGGATCCAGTTAATTAATTGTTTTAATAAAGAAGCAATCAAGCGGGAAGAGCATGTTAATAAAACAAAGCCAGAAAAAAAAAAGCAGATATATAAAATGAAGAAATGAATGAATGCAAATTTTAAAAGAGATGAATGCGTAAAAAGCGGTTAGAAGATAGACATAAAAGGGGGACTTAATATTTTTGATGAAAAAAATTCGGTTAAAAATATTTTTAATTGAAATCTTTTTATCAGTAGCGGTTGTGGCTAATGATAAAGGATATTAATACTTGAAGTAAATAAAAATAAACAAAACGTTACATATAAGAATTTTTTAATTTAGAAAATTTTATTTTAAAAGGAAATGTTATGCGGAAATAGTAGTTTTACTAGAAATAAACAGTTCGCATTATTAATTAAATGAGTCAAAAGAGTCTTTTCTAAAATTTAATTTTAAAAATGGAAGTTCAAAATAATAAACTATAATTTTATAGGACTGATAAATAATCGAGATGGAACAGCAGATTGGCAACATATAGATAATAAAAAGGTATGTTGGTTGCATTGGAAAGCATCATTAAATGAAATTTTGAAAGGGAAAAAAAGAAATGAAGGAAGGGAATATCGTTGATAAAATTAATGATGTTATTTAAATTGAAATTAAATTGTTTCAAATAGGATAATCAATCACTAAAGTATAAGAAAGGAATTTTTAAAAACCTCGAAAATTTTTCTCTTTTTAAGCGAATGTGTTTAAACATTTGTTTGAAAAACTGAGAAATTTAAAAAGGAAAAAAAGAAAAAAGAAAATTTAACGAAATGATTTTTTAACAACAATTTTTTGTCTTTTCATTAAGGCACCATTAGCAAGCGGTGAATTAGATGAAGCGAAGGATGAAGCACGAAAAAATGATAATCAATTTTTGGAGCTATCATCATCATCACAACAACAACAACAACAACAGCAACAACAACAACCAGAACGACAACAGCAGCAGCAACAACAACAACTACTACAGCAGCAGCAACGACAACAACAACAACAACAACAACAACCAGAACAGCAAGTGAATGACAATTTGAAAGAAACGAAAAGTGACGATGATATTCATCTGAATGATAACCAGTCAATTACAGGAAGATCATTTGGTAAATAATTTCCGTTAAATTAGTTTAAATTTAAAAGGAATTTATGAAAAAACTTTATGGGAAAATTACAAATTTGTGGAGTTTATAAAGTAAAAGATGGGATATTTCGTCAATTTTTACATTTATTATTATTGTAATCGATTTTCTCCATAAAATTCCCATTTCTTTAATTAAATTGCATCTTATTTTCCTTTTTTTTCTTGCAGTGTTTGTTCAAAAGAAAACGAATTTTTAATTTTCAATAAAAATGCTGAAGTAAAATATGTAGTAAAAATATATAGTAATTGATTATAATAATTGAAATAGTTTATTTCCATTCCGGTTATTTATAATTAGCAAAAAAAGAAAAACGGAAAAAG